AAAAGATATGAGATATGTAATATTATAGTCATTATAGTTGAGAAACATTGGAATATGTATTTTATTGGATTATCATCACAAGGTGTGAATATATAATCATTAGTTCTAGTCAAATGTTAACTATGAAATGTCAGAGACGAAATCGCTATGTCATAGAGAAATTCTGTGGCAATCCTAGACTATTTTTAGGATAAAGAATATTCTATGATCATTTATGAATACCGCCCTTTTCCCTGAGAAAGGGTGTTTTGCCTGTATACAAGGGGACTTCAAAAAATTCGAGGAAAAAGTCCATAACTAAAACTCATATGGAAGGATTTTAATATCAGTGCAGCTGAACATTCTTGTACCAACGTGTTATAACGTGTTCGAACATGAACACTTAAATGCAGGTAATACCTCATCGTCACCAATAGGGGCAATCAAGCAACATGGAATCCACCAAAACTGAGGCCAGGACACACATTTAATTCATAGTGAAACTCGGTTAGGAGGATAGGCAAATCATTGACGCTCTGGAACAATTTTCTGGCGACAGTGCTCCAAAGAAATCAACAACCTACAAATGGATAAGTCGGTTCAGAAGTGGAAGAAACGAAACTGAAGATGAGTCCCGCAGTGGCAGGCTATCAACGTCATTTCACGAGGAAAAGATTGATACTGCTTGCGACATGTTTGAAAAAGATAGACGAATGACCACTGTGCTACGTGAATTTCGATGGAAATTGTCCGACATCCACCTTACAGCCCTGATTTAGCACAATCTTGTTTTTGTTTCCAAATTTTAAAAAATCATTGAAAGGTACCAATTTTCTATCGATTGAAGATAAAAAAGAGATGCTATGACATGGTTCAGATCACATGACTTCCCGTTATTACCTGCATTTAAGGATTTTTGTTTGAACATGTTATAACACGTTAGTACAAGAATGTTCATGTGCAATGAAGTCAAAATCCTTCCATATGATTTTTAGTTACGGACTTTTTCCACAAACTTTTTGAAGCTCCCTCGTACGTAAACTATAAATAAAAATGTGCATAAACTATTGCAAGCTCACCCTTCGTATTTAAACGGGATGGAGATATCAAAGGCGGCAGCTCGGGGGAAGGAGATGAAGATCGCGTTAATTGTTAGATTTTTTTCTCCCCTGAACACGTCTCCAAGCATCCCACTCCAGGTTCCATTGCGCCTTTCGCCCCACATCCCTTTGGAAATAATTTGATCATCGTTTTTAATTCTCTGGTATCTTAAACCACCGTGTATCATATTCACAGTTGATATAATTAATGATGATGAATAAGGGTTTTAATGCTGCAGTGCAATTTAGAAGCATACCGTCGCTGGACTTGAGCGTTAGAGTGAAAGTAAAGTTATATTTTTCAGCCAGGGTGCTCAAGATGCGATATCCAAGGCCGTCCCACTGCGAGGAGTTCGTCTTGAAGAGAGTGGGCGCGTCATTTCCGTTACTCGCGACGTGCAGAGTGACGCCGCCGAAGGACGAGAAGCGGTCGACGAAGAGCTGGTCCCAGGAGGCGAAGCGAGAGGCGTTCCATCCGCCCAGAGGCAAGAGCTTTCGACGCGGGTGCAGAGGTCGCCACGTGAACACCCGGAACTCGAGTCTGTTCCTCTGCTCGCCTAACTTCGCTGGACACAACGCGGCCACTGCAGGGGTCCTCTGTGCCAGTGCTGTCTGCAGAAGGGCTCTTGGGTCGCACTCCTGCTTAATTCCGATGAGCAGCACAGAGGGAACTGCCCAGTTATGTGGTGGGGAACTTAATAACCAGGGCAGTTCCACACCAATTACTCCGACAAACACATCTGACAAAATGAAGCAATTACACCAGTTAAATTTAGCTATACTAGAATAATAGTGTATAAAACTTGTTACTCTATCATCAAGTATGTATATATATATATATATATAGAGAGAGAGAGAGAGCAGAAGAAAGATCGAAAGAAAGAGGAGAGTGAGAGGGAACGTCTGAGCCATAGATTCGTCCTTTTTGGATGACCATCCCTCTGGTCCTGTTTTTTTTCCTGGCCAGTGCGTCCCTTGTGTTGGTCCTCGAGTGTTTCCAGACTTCCTTGTCAAGGTGTCCAGTGTCGGTCTAGGCGAGGTTGTCCTTCCACTGCATCCTGGGGCGGCTAATAGCTGCACTGACAAGTTTCTGGTCCTCTGGGTCTATGGGCATCCTGGCAGGTGGAGCACAACAAGCTAGGGCAGCCTGGCAACTGCAAAGACGAATTCCTTGTCTGCTGGCTCTACAGGCGATATCCTTCCTATAGCATCCACATGCAACCAGTAATTGCAGCAGCATCCACCGTCAGTGCCGTGCCAGAAATACTCCATTCAGCCACAATGTTAAGCCATACACATATGGGCTAAGATAGTTAGAAAGGAGTGGTGTCTAGCCCATGGAGCTGGAGGTTTTAGCCTGGACGACGGAATCACGCGACCATACGGGTTTATCCTAGGTGGGAAACCAGGTTAAATTGCTT